TTCATTCCAAACAACAGTGGAACATTAGAGGGCGTAGCCAGTCAGCACACTTTTGTAGTACATACGGAAAAGACGTAATGCCAGGAGAAGCGGAGCAGAATAATTTAGCTGCGGTGGTCACGATAGTTAAGGCTAATATCTGTTCCTTCTTCTGTTCCTTTCGGCTTTGTCCCTTTTTTAAATATAATATTATACATATATTTATTTATATATACATCAATGTTAACCACTGATTCTCCTCTTCGTTATGTGCTATCTGATTTTTCATTTAATTTTCACATTATAAATGGTTAGTCTATTGTAATGTGTGATTAAAAAAGGTTACCTTATCCTGATACTTGCTTTTATTTTATACATTTCAAATTATATTTGACTCATACTAAACCTTGTTTAGTTTAAATAGGCCTATATATTATATATAAAATTTACGTTCTATTGTTATTGAAATAACTAATTTAAAGTTGTTCCCAGAGCTTAAGAGTGACACTGGCAAGTAGTAAATTTTAGTTTCTTTGTCAACTTTCAAAATTCATATATATTCAATTATAATATATAAGTTGTAACCTAACACCTAACAACCCTAGCAGACAGTACCAACGGCTTTGAAAAGTTATGTTCATTCAACTCTGTCAACTATTGAGTACTCTTTGCTTATTATTATTATTTGAAAAATCAAAACTGTAAAACCTTTTAACTTTTTTGTCCATCCTACCCAAACTACACGAAGCTGGTTTTCTTCTGCGCGTTTATGCCGTATTTATGGCTCGAGCCGAGAAGCCGCATGTCGATCTCAACGTGCGCCAACCCTGATGACGTCAGGTGTACTGTTAACTTCTGAAGAAACACGCGGCCGGCGGTGTGGTTGTTGACTGCCTGCCTGTAAATACAGCGGATGTAGGACACGCGTTATTGAATAACGAATAACGTTCAATAACGAATAAACATCGTTTGCATTGTATTCATCAATCAAATATATCTTTAATAATTTACTTGTTTCGATTCTGGTGAGTTTTGTCACACTTTGCAGAGCATCGTCTCCTGTGAGTAATAATAACGACCTAGAAGAATTCACAGGAAGCGTCACAAGGACTGTATAAATGAAGGTTGTAGTTTGTAGGAGCTTATAATAGACAGGAAGATCCAGTGGACACCGAAAACCTCCGACAAAGATTCTGTTCTTGTTAGGTTGTTTGTTTATTAAGAGAAAGCTAGCAAAATCGACCTTAGAAAACACTTTGTCCTATGCATGATCCTTCCTTGCTTGCATTTCTTTCTATGCTCGGTTTAATGATTGACTCTAGAATCAAAGCAAATGCATTCCTTTGAAGTGATCTTATCGTTGACAAGTTCAATTCCGCTCGATTTACCGACAGAAAGCTAATCCCAAGCAGGAAGTTGTTAGAAGTGACTCCTCCTTGCATTCACTCTCGGACGTAGGCGATTCCGCTTTAAGAACAGGGCGTATCCGCTCTTGAGGAATCAGGAAATACGTTCGTGTTAAGAAAAAACCCCACCATGGTTGACTTTACGTTCCGTGAGTTAACTTGACTTTTCCTCAGTTGCTCAGGCTGCTGCTTCTGCTGTTGAGTGTCTCGTCCAAAAACCGCCCGTAAGACTCCTGACGGGCAGCCCAGAGAGCTGCTGCTGCGGTCCTTTCCCTCAATGGCTGATCACAATACGGGACTACGTAAGTTTTTCTGATCAATTTTTAATGACTCCCCCTAAAATTCCATTTTAACACTAAAGAGCTGTGAACCGTTTTTCGCTTCTCCCGTTGAAAGGTCTGCTCGCTTGATGGAAATATGGCAATAAATGATTTAAAATAATGCGTCCAGCTTAATTTACTCGAGAAGAGTGCATAGTTTTATGTCTAAGCAGGAAAACGCTGAAGAACTTATTCGGAAGAAAGAAAAACACAATAAAACTCATATAAAGCAAAGTTATTCCCTTCCACTTAAATGTCAATACTACTAACCTAATTATCTAAGAAAAACTACTCTAAGTTTAGTATTGAAATAAAATCAAACTAAACAAAAGTGACTGTACGAAAAAAGGACATCTAATGACAAGTTTAAAATAAGTGCATGATTTTTGGTCTCTAAATTATTATCAATACATCAGATAATAATTTAGAGACCAAAAATCATCATCTAATAAGTTAATTATCCGAGCCCAGAGATACTTACTGCAGCAGTGGGTCTAAATTTAACTGCATTCATAATTCATTCTCAGTCAATATGTAAAAAATAAAAAAACATATATATATATTATAAAAGCAAAAACCATTGTCTGGATTTGTTGCTACTGTTGCAACATCCATCTTTACAGTCAGTATAGCCTCTGAACACCGTACGCAATATATAGTTTAAAAACTAAATACGCATGGACCACAGAGAGCCATTATAACCACACTGTCATGAAGCTAAAATAAGATATTCATGCACATGTTCTCTCTCATTCCCAAACGCTGGTGTTCTCAATCTTTCCATCTTCTGTTTTTTTTCCACTAAGAGTCTGTGGCATCTCCAAAGGCCAAACTCTAAATTTTCCTGCAAATTTAATCAGACCTTGACATTTAGATCAGCTGCTGTGGAAACTTTGCACCAGAAGCGTAGTGAGTGTGTCTGTTGTACAAGCTTCCTGCTCATCTAGGTATAGCTTTATATTTATATAGTGGGTGCCACAGTGAGACCAACATAGTAATGGAGTCATGGTGATGTAGAAACATCTCCTCCCTGCTATAGCTCTAAGTAGGTAAAACAGTGTTTTACATGACTAGACGCTGTGTCCTGTGACATTTGATCCTGAAGTGACACAGCTTGTGAAGAGGCACATGATTTCCTGAGTATGATGAAATGACTGATTTGCAAAGAAGCAGAGCAGACATGGGCCTCATTTATCAACCGTGCGTACGGGCAAAAGTATATGAAATGATTGCGTACCAACATTCCTGTGCAAAGTATGGAATTTATCAACTTGAACTTGTGCTTAGAAATGTGTGTAAATTTAAGCACAGCTCTGGCCATGCGCACACACCAAATCTAGTGGTAGAAGACTGAAACCACGAATAGAACCAATTAAAGGAGACAGTGTTAAACAATATAACTTCACACGTTCCCACAAAATATTTGTTGTGAGTATAGAAAGAGTGCTCTCTACCAAAAAGATTTTGTTCATCTTTCGACTCAGTTGTCTGTTTGTGTTTCTCAGGTATTTTGAATCAATTACTCCCATACCCCTGTCTGTGTGTGTTATACAGGCATTGACTTTACATCATCCTGTACTGCATCAAAGACGCTAATAGCTCTGAGGGCAGCAGATTTATCACAGGCTGTTTTCTAACACAACCACAGGAAATCAGTCCTGCCAAGCCCTTACATAGAACTATTCAGGTACATCCTTCGAAGGCATATTTGAGCAACAAATTTGATGCTGCAGAAGGAAATATTTCCCAGTCAGGAAAAGGAGGATGTTCATCATTGGGGCCAAAGTTTGAGACTACTGCATTACCTGTAGATTCAGAGTATGTCAGTTTGTGTCCCTGGTTGCCAGGAGTTGTTTGAAGTCCACAGATTATTGTCAGGCATTACCTCAAATATTGGAATTTTAAGATTGTCTCAACCCCTACGTTGATCACAGTTTGTGCCTGAGACTTCTGTCAGAAAACAGTGTGTAATTTTTTGGAAAAGCCCCCCCCCCCATCCTTAATTGCAGTTTGTAAACTAATAGCACATTTAAAAGCTTCTAATTTCTGAGCTCAAAGTTTGGAAAATCAGGTTTACTTTATTGCTCTGTTCATTAAATCTGTTCATTTTCAAATTAATCATGGAATGTTTACCTCCATAGTTCAGTTTATTGAGGTCTTACCATTGCTGGACTAAAATTCTGGTTTTTACTGAGAAGACAATTTATTTTCTACTCACTCCAGTCACATGCAAATCCATTTATCCATATTAGAAATATCTCAGAACTCTTGCCTTTTGCCTCAGTGATGCTGGTATCTGGTCCATGCCTTTATTTCACATGCAAATCCATTTATCCATATTAAAAATATCTCAGAACTCTTGCTGGTATCTGGTCCATGCCTTTATATCCTCCAGGTTAAACTATTGCGACGCCCTTTATACTAGGAACTGGCAGTGGCATCCAGAAGCTCCAATACTTTCAGTTGAAGTGTTGTCAGGGTCTGTATGATGAGGCGCAAATATGATTACATCAGCCCAATCCTCTAGTTTCTCCAGTGGCTCCTCAGCCAATACTGACTGAACTCTTTATACCTTATACAATAACAAGACAGCACCAGTCCACAGACACTGCCATCATCTACCCAAGACTAAACACCAGACCACAGGTTGTTGGAGACAGGTTGTTCCAAAGTACTGCTCCACGTTGATGAAACTCCCCACTTAGTCACGTGAGGGCACCACAGGAAAGACTTTTAGTATTTAAAGCTTCACTGGCTTCAAACTTGTTGTTTTGGTTTGTCTCTACTGGTATCCTTTGTAGCACGTTGAGATTTTGTTCCAACAGTGTGATAAAAGTGTAACAAATTATTATTATCATTATTGAATCACTATTCGACCCACTCAGTCTATACTTTTTCCTGATGCTTTTAATATAATTATTAAATTGACTAACAGTCAGTCCTGAGACTTATTAGACAGACTGGGGACTGTACACCAGCAAAGTGACTCCTAATGAACATGTACACAAACACACACATACAACTCGGTCACAGGGAGGTCAGTGTGCAGACAATGGACTTGTCAGTGTGTTCAGTGATGCAGCAAGGACAGATCAGGAACCACATGGTTGATAAAGTCAAACACACTCTAATCTTGTACATTTGATTAGATTTTATTCTAACTATGTCCAAACAGCGAGCTCCCGTGTCACCGCCTGTCTCCGTGAGTCTTCAGGTCTCCTCATGACCTTCTTAGCAGTGGACAAACAGATGTGAATAGGAAACCAGACAAAGGCTCTCTTGTGAGTTGAGCTGGAATGCGTCACATGGCCCTCCAACAGCAGTGGCAAGGGCAGTTTTGGCCTTACAGCCGGCCACAGGTTACCAATGACAGTCTCACCTTAGAATAAAAATAACCTTTACTGCACAACTTTATATGTATTTATGAAGCAACAAAACAAGCTTCTCATAGTCGTCGGCTTGTACGCAGTGGTGAGAACCTTCTAGTAAGTAACTTCAAGCACCTGATGGGTCTGAAGTCCACATTTTGTTTGGTTGCTGAAGTTGTTTGTTTTTGAAGCGTTTCATATCATTGGCCATTGTTTTCCCTTTGTTGTAGTCAGTTCCATAAAAACGTCATGGTATCTCCAAACCTGCAGTTGAATTATGTGTCAGTCCATTCGTTTTATTAGATGTATCATCCATCAAATCATATACATGAATCTGACCTTGTCATTTCAGTGGGATATAGACAGTAGCAGGGATGCAGCCTGCAATTTGCATTTTCTTTCACTTTTGTGAGGGGTTGATAAATATATAAAAGTTAATGGAGAATAAACCCAGCAGGTGGCAGTAGTGCACCTCGAAGGGATACTTTTAACTGTTAAAACATGCACAAGAAAAAAGTAGTTGTTTGGGATGCAGGAGTACACCATAGTATACCAGCAGTTGCTAATTTTCAAACTTGCCCGTATTACTTGTTTCTTAGAATGGAATTTAGCATTTTGCAACTGTAGGTGCATTAATATGTAGGTGCAATAGGTCGAGTGCTGCTTAGGAGCACGAGTGTGTTATTGACCAGTCTCAAATCAATAACACATCAGTCTCATTAAAGTTATCTTTAATCATTGTTATCCTAAAAAAAGTTCCCTTTGAACTTGTGCTTTTACCGTGGGTGGAAAAATGGTGGATGATGCAGCTGCATTGTTCTAATAGTTTACTCCAGGTCTAATCATTACTCATTGGTTCTATTTTTGGTGCTTTCCTTTTACAGCTACTGCACTTGAACACTGGTGGAGTTACATGGAGTTACATATCTGATGTATTGATAAGTTACATGATAAGTTACATGTTAGCGAGTTTCAACTTAAAGAACAGACCCTTTCAGACCCTTTCGGTCTGTACAGTCCCACAGCTGAAGCTTCTCTGCCTGTCGGAGACTGTGGAGCAACTTTGGCAACAGACCAGACTCAACTGATTAAATTAGAGAACATCGAGGCTATGTATATGTTACAGCTGAGCTCTTTTAAATCTTCTCAGCTGCTCATCTCAGGCCTCAAGTGAACGTTGCTGTTACACTTGGTATCTTGTTGCTATCAGGAATGTTGCAGTTGTTTTCTTTCTGTTCCATCCTTTCAGCTCTCTAAAAACGTATGAGATTATCATGTAATTTTCTTTTTCTCTTTAAATACTCCAGAGGACAAAACTACAGTTAGTGGTGGAGTTGAAAACAAAGTAAACCCAGAGTACACTGCCTTCATCCTGGTGCCTGTCTTCTTCCTGTTGGGCCTGTTGGGGGTCGTGATTTGCCACGTACTGAAGAGGAAAGGCTACCGGTGCACGACTGAAGCCCAGGGTGACGATGAGGTCTTTGAAGAAGAAGAAGTGGATCCTGAAATGGGGGGAGGTTTGAAAATTTATGTTCATATTCATTGATCAAAAATGAACTGATTTTTGCCTTCCTTCTCTTTTTTTCTACAACCTAACGTCAGTTCTTTCTGCAATAAAAACCCCTTTCATCTTTCCTGTAACAGGACTCAGACAGACATTCCTGATGATGTTGATTAGTTTTCATAAATGTGGACAGATGATGATTAAAATAAACTTGTTAGATGTGAGTGGAACTCTAATTGCACAAGATCAGATGGACAAAATGATATAAACATATGTCGGCATGAGGGATATCAGAGGGATATTCTGTGTATTGTTTCATTGATTTTCCTGTTCTTGAGATTAAGAAATGGTCATCAGTGCCGGTCCAGGTGACTCCATCGGCTTAGTTAGTGTCAGAGTCATTGCTTTCATTGCTCTTTTATCTTATTATGTTTCCTCTAATGAGAGGAAGTCTTTGTCGTTTATTCTTTAAGGAGTGGAGGCAAATAGAAACCGAGCTGATGTTTGGCATTCAACACACTCTCACCGACTTAAATCAGGGTGTGTTAAGTGAGGTAAAACAAAGTCCCTAGTGTGCCGAGCTTTCCCCCAGATTAGCTTCAGATAGGGAGTTTAATCCTCCTGGAATCGATGTAAACGATGGAGAGTTTTCAGCCCTCCCAGAGTCAGCTTTGTGAACTTAGTGATAACGAGTTTTGTTCCCACCTGATCTCTGTAAAGGTGTGTACATTTCTTCCTTAAGATTTTCTTTTTCAAACTCAAATTGGTCTGTTGACTAAATATAAATATGTGTTTGCAAAGAAAACACCAAATCAAGATGAAAAAAGTCACTAGTGGGTTTTAAGACTAGGAGTAAAAGAATCATCCAACAAGGTTTGGCAAGCAAAGTGTGAGAATCTGTGCTGAAGAATTGCAAAGTTTCTCTGCTCAAGCAACATCTTTTATCTTCCCTCTATAGTTAAAAAGAATGGAAAATATTATAATTTAAAACCGATTTGGATTTAGTCGAAAAAAATGTGACATAATACTTTTGTTTACAAAATGTATTAACCTGTGTTTTTATGACAGTATACATATTTTTTACAACTAATTATTCAGCATTATGTTATTCATAACTGTATAAATAGTAGTATTACTGGAATGTCAACTGAAGTTTTCATATTTTAGCCATAAGTGTACCACTACTGTAATTCTTGAATGATAACAAGCCTCCAGTCACTAGGTGGCAGCAACTCATACAGTGGTTTGTACAGATTAAAATATACACATTATAAGGTTCTCAATATTATTTCAATTTCGTGTGGGGGCGGTGAAAACATTTCTGTCCCCAAGGGGGTCCATGACAGAGAACCACTGGTTTAACTGTATCATCAAGCTCTAGGTGTTGACATTTTTATTGCAGCCTTATAGTTTTCCTGTAAATGGGGTTAGTAGTGTTCTTCTGCCTGCCGAGGCAACTTTTTCCTTTTTCCTTTTCCATTAGTACAAGACGTGGCATGACAGAAACCAGACCAGTGAGGCTGGTACTGTCTTCTCTCCTTTTAGCGACCGTGTGCTGCAGCTAGAGACAGGAGCTGTTTACACTACACTGTCAGCAGAGACAGGAATCACTGCTGAGGCAGTCCCTCCTTCACAAGATTGTTTTTCCACCACTACTTCTAACGAAAGCACTGCATTAAAGTGTAGTAGAACTTGCTTTCTAAAGTTACAGCCAAGGCTCCAGGGCGTAAGGCTTGTCTGTGTTTCTCTGCATCTGTTTTCTGAGGCCCAGCTAAACAAAAGAGTATGTGTTTGTTGGTTGTTGTTCTGGTCTTCTCTTGTTTCCTAATGATCAGATTTCCTCCTCTATGGCTTCCGTCTAGTACTATGACCTCCACAGTTGTGGATGTGAACAGCCTTATCGTTGTGCATCTGAGAATTCACTGGAAACTGTGATGCGTTTTAATTCTTATCAGACATCGTGCAGGGAAATACGAGAGAAATCAGAGACGTGTAGAACTGGTATTTTGCAGGTAGTCGTAGTTGCTAAATGCTGAGCAATGTAAAATATGGCTCTTTGTTTTAGCAACGGTGGCTGGTGCTTTCTACAGAAAGACAATAGCACAATTTAGACCCTGCACATTTCGTAGTTACACTGACTCCAAGTGGCCAGGAACTATTTTGTGAGAATAACGTATAAACTTCTCCGGCTTGTTCGATCCCTAAAAATGTATGGATATTATGGTCTTAGAAAATATGCATATGTATCTATATATTAGACAGAAATCTCCTAAATTTGGAATTATTTTCAGTGGTGAAATGCTGCCTTTTATAAACATGTTTATATAAAATATATTTATATGTATTTCATTACGTATTTTAATAGACAATAAGTGCATGTGTGTCTTTTGATAATATTTTTTATCTTTCTATTATGTTTATACAAAAAATGAACAGTCCTGAAATTAAACACCCTAATTATTTTTTGTGTTTTCTTTTTTTCCAGACTTTAACGACACCTTCAGTGACAACAACGACACAGTGGGACAAATTGTTCACTACATCATGAAAAATGAAGGTGTGTGTGTGCACGCATGTTTTTTTTATCATAAAGAGTCTCAATCAGCTACTTTTATTGGAAGTGTACTTGTGCACAGCCTCAGTGTTAGGAAGCAAATATTTGTTTGAGTGAACACAGGCTGCTGAATCAATTTCATCACTTCAATATTTGTCAGATATCCCGCATTTCGTAATAAATGCCTATGAGAACATAACTGGGCGTAGGAGAAAGTTCAAGTCATGGCCGTTACGAAATCAACACAGCTGATACTTGAAGGTTGTTCTGACACTACTGCACTAAACCTGAGAAGAGTGTGTGTTTGGTGCTGTGCGGCCTGGTCAGTCCAGTTTGGCTTAGGACAAACTGAGGACACACTGGCAGCAGGGCAGGAATGTAAAGGCCAATGCATATGTTTATCTACAGCCTGCTTGCATCACAGTTTCTGGGATGACTTCAAATGAGTCAACATTTGTCATTAGTTAGTCTCCCCTCATTGGTCAGTCATAACTACCTTATTAAAGGACTGTGTTGCACCACAGTTATTGTTGAAGTACAACGTGTAGAGTGAAGTATCTCCAGGCTGTAATAACACACAGGCTCTCTTTGGAGAATTGCACTACAATTGGATTGTGACATTTTTAACTTTAAATTTCTTGACTTCGGTTTAAACTCTACATTAATATGTGGTAATTACAGAATACCTAAAGAAAACCACAGCGAAACCTTTACTTCTGTCTTTAGTTCTAATTATAACAAATGAAGTTTTTTTTTTCCAGTACGTCTGACCTGAGACCAGTGGAAAACATTTTGACCCTCTTGCCCCCCAAAAAAACTTTTTTTGAAATCTGCAGTAGAAAGATGCACTTCTGCCACTTACTGGAGATTTCTGCATATTGTACCTTTTTGAAGAACTGATTAAAGTTTGACAAATCATCCTAAATGAAGCTTAAATCCTGGGACAGTTACATCACAATTTACATTAACCAGTGAGGATTGATGGATTGATTTGCTCCATCTACAGTACTAAAAGGAGAAGGACTCTACTACCACAAGAAGAGAGAGGACGTATAAAGATTATTTTAAGTTTAAGATCATCAATTGATGTTTGGCAGCCATTTTTGTTATTGTTTTTGTAGAAGACTGAAACAGAAATACTTGTTTTTGTAACCTGAAAACTCAATAGTGTGCACTAACCAAAGCAACACACCAACTTCAGTTCTACTAGTACAGGCAAAGCTTTGATGTGTTCTTCTATTTTTCTCTCACCTCTGAGTATCTGTTCACATCAGTAACTTATTCTCTTCTTCTGTCCAGCGAACTCAGACGCCCTGAAAGCCATGGTTCATGACAACAGCACTGACTCTGATGGGTAAGTGTTTTTTATTTTTATTTTTTACAGAGACAGACGTTAGAATAAACGGTCCAACAGTCACTATGAACCAACAGTCACCAAAAATATTTGCCTCAGTTTAATTGAAAACACGTGAGAAACATTTCAACCACCAGATGGCGCTTTAAGCCTGCATGTGTCCCTAATCTCTCTCCGGCTTTTGAGTTTTTTTTGGCGCAGGAAATGGCCACTCAAGGTAACCAGGCCACGCTTTTCTTTTCTTTTCTGCCCTTTTTCTTTTTTTTCCCTGCTGATTTGCTTCCATATTTGCAGGACTTATTGAGAGCAGGCAGCTGGGGATGATTCCCAAAATGTCTGTGTCTCACATCACTGCACTGAGGGATTTATCAAAGCACAGTGAGCACAGATGTTAACATGTTCTCAGCCAAGATTGTTACTTTGACTCTACTTCGAATGGGATTACTATATAAAGAGAGGAAAATAACATTTGTTTTTAATCTGAAAGTTTAAAACCATCTGCTTTGGTGAGTCATGGCAAAATGCATTTTTTTGAAATTTCTTATTTTTGGGCTGATTCGTCAACATTAACAGCCTCTGCAATCAAATTAGACTTTCATATTTTATATAAAAATACTAATGAAAACCTCCTACAAAATCCAGGAAGTCAGAACAGTTTTAAATGGACCTTAATTCAAGTAAAATACTTTACTACCATTTTCAACCCATGAAATGCTTGAAAAATACTGCAAGTAGAAACACAGAACCATTGAAATCTTTGAACTTGTTTATTGTTATAAATGAGTTTTCAGTCAAGTTCAAAGCTGCAGGTCAGGTTGAACAAAGGCAGCTGCAGCTAATCTTTCATCCCTGTTGCTGTTGGATGGAGCTGACTAGTCCTGACTAGTCCTCATTTTAAAAGCCTTTGCCACATTAAAAGTGGAATTGTCTGCTTTAAATCTCAGCAGTGACCCTCATTTGACAAAACCCCAAATCCTTTAATACCATTTCAGTAGGATGTGATTGTTTACATCTAAAGCCTGTCTCCTCGAGGCCCTCTTTGAAGCATCATGAGAAGAAAGAACCGACAGTCGGGGCCGAGATGTGACGTCCCTGCCTCTCATCGCGGCCTTCATCTGCTCAGAGAGCAGGGAGCGAAGGCAAAACGAATGAATATGCGAAGCAGCTTTTTCCGATAAGCAGGCAGAGAGCTGGGCAGATAGGACAGACAGATAGGAGGAGGAAATGTTTGTGGCAGTGGAGGAGTCTTAAGTAAATCAAGTTAGTGGAGTATGTTTTGTCCTTTCATCTTTCTTGTCCTGTCTGAGGTGGAAAGGAGTGAAGATGAAGAAGGAGATGTTCTTCTCCTGTCTGGTAGACTTGGTGTTGATAAATGCCCAGGGATTTTCCTCTGTGTGGAGTTAACGCTTGTAAATATTCTGTTTTGTTCACTCACACTGGTCTCTCTCTCCCTGTCTCTCTCCCCCTCTCTTTCTCTCTCTCCCTGCCTCTCTCTCCCTCCCTCGCCCTCTCCCCCTCTCTCTGTCAACATTTCCTGTCTTCTTTTGTTCGTCTATAATTTCTCCACATCTGCGACTGTTCACCTCATCCTCAGTTTTTCCTAGTCAGGGTGGGCAGCCTGCCAGTGGATCACTTAGAAATGGAGGGATGGTAGGGAGAGGGGGTTTCACCAGGGGTAATTAATGAAGGACTCGGAGGAGGGGAAAGGAGACTGACACAAGAAGGAAAGGAAGGAAGGAGAGGAACTGCAGGAGGAGGAGCAGGGTGACTGTAGTGTGGCCAGGTTTAGCTATCAGCATCTCCACAGACTGTGTTCTACCTTCACCCGACTCACTGAGTGTTCCAAGCTCTTCTTCTGGTACCATTGAGGCTTATCAGTCACTGAGTGAACACAGAGAGTAAAATGAAGGTCAAGATCAGAACCTGTGAAACACAGGTCGAATGCAGTCAATAACTCAAAAAAGGTAGAGAAGTAAAAAAAGAAAAAGAAAATCAGCCCTACATGGATTTCACTGTCGATCTCTGCACCTTGTCAACATTGAAAATAATAACTCCTCAGCTAATTATTTCTCTGTTTGTCCTTCAGCTGTCTCTCTTGCGCTCTCTCCCTCTCTCTCTCACACACACACAAACACGTATATATCTATTTAAAACAATTCTTCTGTTTACACAGAGCTCCTCTCCCAGGTCACGGACGTTCCCAGGCTGTTCCTCCCGTTAATTATCTTTGAGATATGAACGGAGATGAGAGCTGATCTCAATTATCACCTGTTTAACACGCTTTGAATGTAAATACTGCGTTAGTGTCAGCTGAGCAGGATCTTTATCTCCACACGGCTCTTTTATCTCAGCTTTAAACAAATGTCTCTTGCAATGATTCCTTCACAGTGAATATTCTGCGCCTGCTGGTATCAGACCAAGTGCTACTGAACGAATCTTTTTTATTGTGAAAAAGATTGTAATCCGAAGTGGTCTGAATGCTGGTGGGTTGGAAAGGTCAAGCTTTTCAAATGTACAGATAAAAGCATCACATTGTTAGACTAGACCTTTGAAATAAGTCACACTCTCGTATGAACATTGGTGTTTATTATACCTTTGCTGGCCACTCCTTTAGGAACATCGTACTAGGAGTGGTTTGGTTTTAGCACACATTTAATGTCAAGATGCATAACTTATTATTATTATTATAAAAAGGTAACGTGAAGTGTTGTTGTTTTTCAGGTGTATAATGCACAAACTGTACATTTGACTCAAGACAGAAAAAAAAAACAATTTGGAATTATGTGTCATTTTGTTTAGCGTTGCTAATTCATCCTCAGATTTTTCTGGTTTAAATTCAAATGTTTGTCAGATGACAGTCACTGAGTCACTGTAAACTGTAAAACTCAGTTTAATTCAAAAATGAAACAAATTCACGAGATAAAGAAATACAATCTTAAAGAAACCATAATGATAAAGTCTATAATAAAAATATTATTTATCTTATGTTATAATAATAGTCTTATTTTTATTATCACTATAATATAAATAAATACAAAAATAGACTCGTCATGGCACCTCAGTGGTGTGCAAACGCAGCTGGTAACAGATGTTGAAATACAATGACAAAATATATTAATATATTTTCCCAGTCTACTATATGGCTGTAATACCTCAGCAGTTCTTCTACTCATATTTTCTTATAAATATGTCTTCTGCACTGTCTATTATTAGATTGAAAGATAGAAATAAAATTATTATCTTCAGGTTCTTTTTTTCCTCTAGTCCTCCGTACACACCCACGACGCCCAACACCCCGACCACTCCGATGACTCCCATCTCGCCCGGAGCGTCCCCCGGAGCTGCCAAACACACCTGCAACCACCTGCATACCATTGGAGGACTCGGTGGCCACAAGAACATCTGCACCCGCTGCAGCCAGAAGAAATGGCCGCTGATGCGGAAGCTGTCAACGCGCAAGCCTGAGCAGCGCCGCAGCCACCACGGAGAGGTGACAGTCTTGGCCGTGGGCAGGTGGGTGAAAACAGCAAACAGAGTCACTACTGTTTATAACGGCATCTACATCAGGTGTGTCGAACTCACCTGAACTCATCAGTGGAACTGTATTGCTGACAAGCCTGAGCAGCGCCGCAGCCACCACGGAGAGGTGACAGTCTTGGCCGTGGGCAGGTGGGTGAAAACAGCAAACAGAGTCACTACTGTTTATGACGGCATCTACATCAGGTGTGTCGAACTCACCTGAACTCATCACTCACATAGTTAAAAAATGTTCCTAATTTTACTAATTTACTTCATTCAAAGAAAGTCCAGTCATATTCATTTACTTTCTTTATTAAAAGATAATTAAAAAAAGATAAAAAAATAATAATAAATAAGTAATAAAAAAACTTAATTTCTCAGGTTAAGCTCCCACGAGCCACACAAAATGGCTTGGCGGGTTGCATTTGGCCCCCTTGAGTTTGACCTACGTGGATGAAAGTCTCTGTTCTCAGTGAACAGGAACAACACCGTAGAATGACACTGTGACTGTTGGTGAAGGAACAGAGATGGTGTTTACTTTATTGCCATTAGGCACTGGTTATCACATCACATAAAATATAATCACAGTCACTACCCAAAACTGTAGTGGCTGTTTTGCAACTGTTTTGCAAATTATTGTACATTTTTATTTATTATATTGTCATTTCCTGCTGCTAAATGAATGTATTTTTGTTTGCCAGTGAAATGCTCAGATGAAATCTGAATCTGTTGGGCGTAAACCGGCTCTGTCCACATACAGTGCACACAAAATCCTTGACGTGAGTGCTCAATAATTACCTCAGTAAAGCCAGTGTTAATCACACAGAGTGGCTTCTCTGTGCACTTTGACATCAGACCAGCCATCTGTGAACTGCAGTGTCGAGAGGTCATAGCGAAGAAGCCTGGGAAAAAGTTAGCTGCAGTGTGTGTGTGTGTATGTGTGTGTTTTTGTTGCGTTGTTGTGGCTTAGTGTGAAGCTTCAAGGGCTTTCACCTCTTTTCAAAACATTTTGCAGCTAGCTGTAGTGTGAATGGTGGCCCACACAGAGAAGGTACAGAATGTAGTCTATGGACAGAAATACATACGCGTATGTATATTTGATCTCTAAAGAAAGTGATCAATACAAATGTTTTTCTTGCTTTTTTTCTTGGGGCCATGTGCTGTACTTTTGTGGCTGTGTGTGTGCTTTAGTGGGAGGGTAGTTGTAGTATCAAGCTGCAGGGGTTTGACCTTAAAAACACACCAAACTGGAAGGACTGGGACACAGAAACCTATGATGTCTCTCTGCTCCAACACCATCCTTGTCACTCGTTTCCTCTTTCTCACGGTTGTCTTCAGAGGATTGTTTTCAAACGACACAATGTCTGTCTCGCCTTTTCTTCGCCAGTCGTCACTGAAGCTGTTTCACAGCTAAAAACATTCAGGCAATTTTTAGCAGAACTTGGCTAAAGAAGCGTTGCTGATGGATTTCAGATAAATGCTGCTGCTTTAAACAAAGACATTTCTTCTCTGAGCACAACAGCAGTGAATCAGTCTTTGGAAATGTTGACATTTTTATTTACTGTATGACTATATCACGTCTGCAGGGTCTTTTCTTTTCATTAGCTATTCCTGATTGTTTCCATCCTTGGGGCAAACACCTGCTTTTTTTTTTGATTTGGTCCAACTTGATTTGCTATTTTCTGGCCTTGTTTTGCTGAGGCTGGTTCCAAGACAAAAAATAATTACTTCATACAAACACATACCTAGTACTGCGACCTGACTGTGCTTGTTCATGGTGTCCTGCTTTTTCAAAACATACAGTATGTAACAGGGTAAAGGCAGTTAGTCCCCAAAAGTTAGTTTAGCCTAAAGACAATTCAGCACAGCCAAAGCCAACCCCCTAGAAAACTAATAAGTAATATTTTAAATCTTTTTAGCTTATTTATGTGTATTTTGTCTAACTAGTTAGATGTATTTATTTAATTTTGGAGTTTAAACAAACTATTCACCTGTTGTCACTTGTTAGCTTCTCTTTTTTTTCTTTTTTAGTGAGTAAAAAAACAGGCTTAAGTGTAGCTAACTCTTTTCCTTTTGTAGTCACATGACAATTTTATGGCATTTTATAGAAAGACCATATTGTAGTGATAATAGTATAATATACAGTACATAATATGATGTGTACTTTTTTTTTTTAACCCAATTCTACTTTTTTTTGTTCCTTATCCAGGTTCCGAGTGACAAAGTGTGAAAAGCCGTCCAGAGAGAGGCGGACTCTCTTAATAACTGACTCCAACGGGAGTGTTCCAACATCACCCACAGAGGTGGAACCAAGGAGCCGGAACATATCCGAATCCCAGCAGGTCTGTGGTCTGAAATATCCCTTTGATTTATTTGTCATGACTTGTTTTAGTCAGTCTTTAAATGAAAATGTCTTCATATCTGATTGGTTTTCTTTCTGCCCTAATCGCTATGTCACCTATTGGAGAAAATAAAGGTCAGATCTGTGGCTGATGCGTTTGAATGTGCGTGTATTCTTATTCAGAGATGAGCACATTTATGGCCGAGCACATTTCCGGCCATAAATAAATAAATTAGTCTTTAAATGGTGACACTGCAGCAGTGAATCATTCGTGGTTGTTTGGACAATCCTTCTCTTTAAATCACATCATTTATATGAATGAATTTGTGTTTTCTATCTGCCTTTATATTCAGCTTCTCTGTTAATGAAATGAAAGATTCCAACAGAGCTGCTTTGTTAGTGACGGAATAGCTCAAATACTTAATAATTAGCTAAAGAAAGCTAAGAATTCCTGAAGTTACCTTAAAAAGGTTCACCTTTAGGTGAACAATAATCGGCTACAATTTTTCCTGAATACTAGTTTTTGATTTACCTCAGAAATTGCTAAAAGTAAGCCTTATGTAGCACAGTGTCAGATCAATATACTCAATATAAAGGTAAAACAAAGCAAAAATTAAAGCTTTATGTTATCGAGCAAAGTGATTAAAAATTGCTTAATAATAGTAAAATAGTAATTTAGTCAGATGTAATTAAATAAGCTATATAGTAATCCAAAGTTTACCTTAATCTCAGCTAAAGTCTAACATAAAACTTCAGGTCACAGAAAAAGTTCAGTGTTAGCCCAATATTCTCAAGATTTTTGACAAATTACAGAAAAGAAAATCAAAACAGTTTTCTGTTCCAGGAGATGTGAAGATAGATGAGAGAGTGACAACAATTTCAGGGCCAAAAAAACTAGCCTTGAAGAAAGAGGATACTTTTTTTTTTTTTGTAGATCCAGTTAAATCAGTCTGTTCTTTATTCTCTTCATGCTCCTGAATTGTAGATACAACAAGTTAAGAAAATCAATTTACAGATTAAAGACATTATTAACATTGGGGTCATTTCATGCTATTGACTTTTTCTTCTTGTATTCACTGTGACTGCGGGGGAGGGAAGGGTGAGGGAGTTGCTGCCACCCTGGATAACAAACAAATCCTGTGGTGTGGAAGAGTGAAGACAGAGCCGACATAATCAGGCTGAAAAACAACCCCTTGATTGATGCCTGTTTTATTTCCTTCCCCTCAGGTGCAATCAGAAAATATGGACAGCAAGAAATGATAAAAAAAACCTCCAGGTACCAACCTCATTTTTTTAAAAGAAATCTGTGACGTGCTTGTCCTTATTTCTTTGCATCTAAAAATGTTTCATCCTTGAATTTCAGCTTCCTAAACAGACAAGAGAACGAACACCTGGACTGTGTTTTTAGAAACCAAACACGTTGAGATTGAAGTTTCGAGAGGACGACGAGATTGAATGTCAGCAAAGGTGAAAGAAGATGGAGAGGGTGAATTTCTCTGAGAATCGTCTTTGTTAGAGCGACGGAAGCTGCTGACGACCAAGGCAAAGGTGGTATTTACACTTGGTGGTTGTTGGTGACACACTTCAGTTCCTCCTGTGATAATTTCACAGCACTGCCTTGCTCAATGGCTTCAAGTGTCATTACTCTTGTTACACCAACATTTCGATGTAGTTTTGTTTCTGGTGCAGGCCCTCAGGAGGAACAGGTGCTGTCAGTTAGAATAGACATTCTCAAACTGGAAAACTGGGACCACTTCTTTGGAACGGTGTTCCTTGTCATTCTCAATCTTTTTTTTAATTTATTTTGTTTTCTGTGTCTGCCTTGATCAGTGCTTTTCTCAGTACATTCAAATACTGAGAACACAGTATTTTAGTATTCAAAGATGAACAGTACATAAGTGACAGTGTTATCTTGGCAAAAAGCTGAAACTCTTGGAAAATGTATTGTCAGTCACAGTTTGGTTGTATTTAAGCTTGGGATGTTTGTTTCCAGCTCCATATATTCATCCATTCCACACTCCTGAAGGAGTAACATTTGAAGGAACATCTAGTCTGTGTTTACATCCCAAATCTTCCAAGTGTAAATGTCCAATCAAACCTTTGAGGTGATAGGCTCAAATATTAGTGATAAAGCCCTATTTGTGTTCTCCTCGGTCTCTAGAGTATGATTTCAGTTGTCTTGCTGTTAGCAAGCAAGCTTCACAAAAGTTCAGGTTCAGTAGTTGTCTAAACCTGCAGCATTCTTTCAAAAGTCAAACTGGAACTGAAAAACATCATGTTGTCCGTGTGCTGTAGCTGCGATGGCTACTGATGCCTCTCTGCCTGCGCTAATGAAACATGTTCCTCACATACAGATATAGACGACAATTCCTCTTTAAGGACCAGACTGATACCAAAGTGTCTAAATATTCTCTCTTTATATCAACTTTATTCTCAAGGTCAGGTTTGAAGTGACTCAGTCTAGTTCAGCACGTTCTTGGCACCTTTTTGTTTGCAAAAGTACGACATTTACGTGCAAACATCAGCCACACAGTCCTCAGGCTGGACTATGCTGTTGGTTGTTGTTTCCTTCTAAAGCTTCTGTGTCTGCGCATGCTGCTCACTGACTGTTCACTCACTGCCGCAGCAAACACCTAGCCTAGATCTATTAAACTCTCTTACAATTTGTCAGCACACAGAAGAGTTTTGAAGTTGTTTTACATTATTGTTGCTTGCACACTAATAATGCCTCTGTGCCTGTTCATGCTGCTCATTACCAATGACATTTTTAGCTAACAGACATGAAACTTACCCTGTCTTGAGGTTTTGCCCAAAAAGCATCAAATTGATCCTTTCCTCCTTTCAATATTAACTCTAAGTCTAACAATGACTTTGTGCCTGCACAAAAATGACCAAAAGACATCTGGTCAAATGCTAGATTAACCAAAGTCAACTGCCAGATGTGATGCATGTGTTTTTATGGAACACGTGGAGAAAGTAACCAGTCGAGAAACTAGTGTTTGAATCGATGTTCTTTTTCGTTCACATGATGTTTGCAGTTGTGTGTGAACCAAAGCAGTTATGTTGAAAAGATACTAAAACACTATGTTACAACGTTAGTAGACCTGTTCCAGTCTGTTCATCAGGAGTCATACGCCTTAGATCACTGCGATCTCTGTGCAGATCACACTCCTATTTAGAGGTAAAAAGATCGTAAATCATCATAGGTTCCTGAGCAAATTTGGGGACAGCAGGTGTGATTGACAGCCATATTGTCCAATAGGAGCTTGGTTACAAAACTATCATGATACTTTTTTTGTGTTGATGTTTTCATTTTTAATTCTAACTAGGTTAGAAGTAAAGCCAAAATGTCGAAGGTCATTGACGTCATTATGTTGTCATTATGTTCATTTCAGTCCACTCCAGTATACATGGAGAATCTGTCTTTATATGAAGTCAAACCAAGCTCTTCTTTTTAATTTAGCCTGACTTTATCATATTTATCAATCCAGGTTTAGGCCTTTGAGTTTTTTCTATTGTAATGTGCCTTTAATTGTTGGGCATGTGTGATTCTGCATTTGTCGTTCGACAAGCGTTTACATTGTCAAGGTTCCAGAGGGTTATTCAGTAGAAAAGACAATGTCGTATAGTCACTTTCATAGTGTGTGTTTGTGTGTGTGTGTGTGTGAGAGAGAGAGAGAGAGAGAGATAGAGGGAAAGACAAACATTAATGTACAGTATTTCCTCCAATAAAATCAGTCCTTTTATGAAGAAAAATGTTTGTGTTCTACAAGCTCTCTGTCTTGGCCCTGTGCAACAACATCAGTTACTTTGGTGTCTGACTGCTACAGAATAGTCCACTCGGGGGCAGTACTCAGTTCAGAGTTCATTTCCAGGCTGACATTAGTTTCGGAGACATGAACAAACGTGGCCACAGTGGAGGAGGTGGTGATAATGTCCCTGCTGAGAACAAGGGCCAGCAGAGGGCAGAGCAGGGGACAGTGGAGGTCTGTGAGGACATTCAGTTCAGCTCCAAGTCAACACACACTTCTTCTTGTTGTCTCCACTGTTTCTGCCGTTTGTCTTTTTGCTGTTCCTTTTTATGGCTGCCCGTGAGCTATTCTGCGCAACACCGCCCCCATGATTTTCCAGTGGTAGTGCTCTTTCATGGTAGACATCTGCAATTTCTCAGAGAATGTAGCAAATTCTAAATGAAGCAGAGGACAGAGGAAGGCTTTGTTTGTTTGTTTGAGTTTGAGGGAATGTAAACATTTTCCAAAAACATACTGATGCTGCTAGATATAAAAGTTGGTGCATTGAACTAAACGGAGCTGAGAACCCCACCGTGAGATGGGAACAAACTCAGTGTCTGCAGAGCTTAATATTTCTGTGCTAATTTTAGACGTGTCCAGATGTAAACCTTCTTGGATGAAAACACAGAGGATCCAGAAGGCATTTTATACAGAAGTCTCTAATTTTAGACCTTAGTTTTTTAGTGGGAAAAGTAAAAAACAAAAAACAGCAACAGCAGGATGGAGCAGCAGATGGATGTAGAAGTTGAATCTCTGCCTCTGTGATGCTCCACTGACTCTGTGGCTCAGAAGACACAGCACAAGCCAGAGCTGAGAGACTGAGGGCAGAGATGTAGTTTGTGCTCAGGTCGTGACCTGACCTTCAATCAAACATGTCTCATTTGATGATATTGTGAAAAAAAGATATTACCTACAAATAATGGAATTAATTTCCTCCTGCCTGGTTTGATGAACTTGCTAACAAATATAAAATATTGCACATGCCACATACTAAATCAATGTAATGAATCAAATCATGAATTTAATCATGAAAACTCTTAATAACTTAGAATTGATTCTTTTTAAATTCATTTTCCAATGCATTTTACATCAAAATAAATAGATGTATTTGATGTATAAACACAATATATAATCACAATAAGTTATCAATAATTGGTTCGAGTAAATGTGTTTGATTGATTTTAAATTCACTTCAGCATTTGAATCTGAATGTATTTTGTAAATAAATTAATCAATAGACAAAATAATAATTAATAATTACATATAATTTATAAGCAAAGTATTTGGTAAAATGCATATTTTCTAATTTATCAATAGAATAAATAAATAGAAACACAATTAACAATAAATAATCCCAAAAATAAATTGAATGAATGAATATTTAAACATGTTTTTAATTCATTAAACTTAGAAATAAATTATTATAATTATTACAATGATTGTTTTTATTATTCATTGGCTTACATAAAATGAATAAAATAATCACTGTGTATAAGTCCATTATCAGTGATGAAGTCTGTGTCCACAGCCCTGCAGTCTCAGCCTGAGTCATCCGTCTTCATATTCATTTCCTCTGCTCCTCCCTCCTCGCCTCCTCCCACTCCTGATTCTTCTTCATCTCTTGGATCTTGTTGACCTCCATCCTCTGGATGTGTTATTTACTCATAATGGGGATGGGATAAAGACGGAGAGCTGTTTGGAGCCAATGCACACGTCTGAGAATGGTCCTCGACTTTTTTAAAAATTATTTTATTCCTTCTTCACAAGAGAATGGTCCTCGACTTTTTTAAAAATGTTTTATTCCTTCTTCACAATCTTTCATTTCAGCAGCTTTGGTCGAGGAAAAGGAAAAAACAGTTTGGATCTTGAAGAGGACACGAGAAAAACCCAATGTGTCATATCAAATTAATATTATAACTGTTTTTTCCTCTGAACCAGAAGACAGGTGGCGCTAAAACAGCTCCCACTGTTGTACATGGACTCAACCCGAGCGCTGAACGTTAAATGAAAGCTGGAGAATCAGACAAGTCATCCGGTATGTGAAGCACACGTGTTGACCACCAGGTGTCAGTGTGTCTGTGAAACAGTGGCGTCCATCTGCAACCTCCCAGAAGTAAAAGCAAAAACAACGGGGGAAGGATAGGGGGCGCCAAACCCTAATCTCACCTGCAAAACAGCCGACTCAGTCTGTAACACACAGTGTTAGCAACAGCACCAAACAACAGTCAGCCTTGATGAAACCCAGCTCTGACTGACTCGCTCTGCCCCTGGTGTCAGCTGACAGCACTGCAGGGTGATTTGGCTTTCACAGGGACGGGCAGCATTTACATGTGGAAAGAAAACTGGTGGAACACAAAGGCAACGTGGCCCCGCCCACCCAGTGCTGTGGGCTCAGAGAGGACCTGCCTTTGATAAACACACACTGCCATCAACACGCAAACACACACACACACACACCCCAGCACAGCGTGATTCAGGATGACGCCTTGTCAGGTGACGCAGTCGACGTGAGGCCGAGGAGCAAATATTGACTCCTGCTGGATGTTCTGTGGACGTGTTGACTCTTATAATGACTGGATGACAGAAACAATAGATGATGCGGTGCTTTTTCTCACACTACAGCAGAGGTCTTCAAGAGAGGGTTCCGTGACCCCCAGAGGGCCAGAGTAGGCCGTGCACAGGGGTCATGACTGTTTTTGTTGATTAGACAGTTTTTTGTTTCGTTTTAATATTTTGCACGTGTTTAAAATCATCAATGTGCAAAGCTGTGTATTTTAAATAGCTTGGTGTAAACTTTAGCTCCATCTGTCACTCCTCATACTCCATACAATCCTCAAGTACTTATCAGCCACACCAGACTTTTTCATACCACACCGTCGTTTTCATTCCATCCTAAAAATGTCGCAACATAGGCTAGGCAAGTTTTTACTAAAGTAACATAAAAATGTGGGATATCAGAAACTTGCATCTTCTGAGGTGACGTCCTTGTAGCTCGTTATTCAGCAGCTGTGGTCTCATTGGCTAGTGAGATTCCTGCCGCCAGGTGTGATTAATGATGATTTATTTTGGACGGCTGAAATCACACAGTTTGCAGTAACCTTTGACCATGGGCGTGACAATGTTCTAGAACCTTCTTCAGAAGTAACATGGAGACAGTTTTGTACTGATTTATATACATTTAGCCTCTTTAAAGTACTGTACTGTCCGAGCCGCCGTCTGTCTGTCCGTCTGTCCGTCTGTCCGTCTGTCTGTCTGTTTGTCTGTTCTTTTTCCCAGAACATGGAGTTGGTCCAGACACCATGGTTGGTTGGTTTGGTCTGAGGGTGGATGACCGTGGACCAGTGTGAGGGAGAGTAGTCAATATTCAACGACCTTGACCAGTGAAGGTAGTGCCTTTGAAAATGACTTTAGTCTGGTAAATGTCTGCAGTCAGTCTGCTGTGACTGTCTGTAGCATCTGTTGCTCCTTTTAGCTACAGGAAACTATTACGTTCAGTCTGCAGATAAAACATGAAGTCTTTAACCAGAGTTAAATATTACCCACGTTCACCGGCTTCCAACAAAAAGGATCGTTTTGGTTCCGTTTAAGGGGAAGTACACCATTTAACAGGCCGCTGCATTGACTGTTGTTTGTAATCATCTTTTAGTTAAAAAGTTCCAAAAGATAAAGATAGATATAAGATAGCAGCTACCAGTTTGCTAAAACCCCCTAAACATTTACCAAAAGTTAGCAATTAAAAATCAGGCTAAAAGTTAGCCAGAAATAGCTAACCAAAAAGAAAAAGAAATTACCACTTGACCAAAAACAAAAGGTCAAAGTTGTTAAAAGGTTAAACATGTCAGTTAACAGACAAATGTTGACATTTTGTTTGTAAGGCTGACGTTTAGAATGAAATATGATTTTCTCTGTTGTAAAATATTTTATAAACATGTATTTGTGTGTGTGTGTGTGTGTCGCAGTTGAAGTGTGTGACATCATTAATGCTAACAACGCCAGAGGAAAAATAAACAAGTTAAGTAAGCGTCCACACACACACACACACACCTCGGGGATCAAGTGCAGAGAGCTCCCTAATGAAGGTAATAACAGCAGAACACAGGAAACCACACATGATTTTACTGCAACTACTAGAAGTTGCTAGAAGCTAGCCACCCAAGCTTCAAGTAAAAGTCAATAAATCTAAAAATAAACTGAAATGGCTCAAAGGTAGCAGTTAAAATGTACACATTTAAACATACTTTTGATCCGGAATGATCTAAATGTTTAAAATAGCTAAAGGTGGCCAAAAGACGTAGTATTGAAGTTAGCCAAGATGCTGGCATGAAGCTGAAAACAGATCCTGTTTAAGCTGATGTAGTACTAGATTGTGGTGCAGTACTACATCTGGTCCTAGAACTGTTGTAAAGAGTGCTTGTCACGTGTTTCTGTGCTGTCGTTCTCTTCAGCAGTTCTGACGGCTGTGACAGAGAAACTGTAACGACCACATGGTCTGATGGAAAACCAACGTCAACAGAAAGGTGAATTCTACTTCCTGTGTTCAGAGACAAGGGCGTCAGATTCCCTCTTTTGATTCACCGTCACAGACTCTGCGTCAGATTCCCTCTTTTGATTCACCGACCAACGTCACAGACTCATTTCTCTAAAGTCAAAACCTGGTTTAATTTTTCTCTTCTTCCTGTTTTTTCTGTAGGAATCACCGAGAATCGAAAAAAATGTTCTCAGAGTTAATGGTGAAGTTCAGCTGCAGGAATGAGGTCACGACCTTCATCAGGGTAAATGTTTGACCGAAACACAAACACTCAGACACCCCGCTGCTTTGTCATGCACAAAAGAAAACAGGAGTTCCAGGAAACTGCACTGGAACAAAAGTCTCATTAACCAAAACCTGTCTATGAGTTCATTTTACTTTGACTGTTTAAAATATAGGAAAAAAAGGAGGTTATAAATTAGATAATAAAATAAAAATAAGAAGATTATCACAAAAGTTCAAGTTTCAAGAACATTTAAAAGTGAGCAGTACTCAATGCTAGAACTTAGCTCAAATACAAATACAACTATAGGAAGTCTCAGGACTAAGAAAAGATAAGTGCTAAAGGTTAGCTGAAATATAGCTAATAAATAAACCTGAGGTAACATGAAGAGCAAAATTGTACTAAAATGTTAATATAACATAACAGAATATATATAAGATAATATTAATCACATTAATAATATAATATAAATATAGGTACATCATATATAAATATATATTATAATAGTTTTTAAAGTGTGTGAATCATATATAAATATATATTATAATAGTATGTGGGCTAATAGCTGTACAGGCCTGAAAAGTGCTCGAAAGGTTCTTCAAAAACCTTGAATAAGAAGGTTTCAGCTGGCCAACATTTTTGTCCTCTCTCTCGGCTGCTGTTGGTTTCCAAGGCTCACTGTGTTTATATCTGTGTGTGTACTGCTGGCTGAGGTGACAACACCCCAAGGTCTTCATTAGTTCAGGCTCGGGGGTTTTGCAGGGACACTTCCTGCCTGAGCTCTCACTGCTGTAGTGTCAGGGTCTGTATGTGGTCCCACTGAGACCAGGAGACGTAAACAAGAGTCTCAGGTCCTGATGTCCTGCACAAGCGTTCGTTAGCTCAGGCAGAAAATGTCAACGTGGTTTGTCTGGCTCTTGCTATCTTCCAGTAGTGATTCCCACTACTGTTAACACCTCTGCTAGTTTCCCTTTATAAGTTGATAACATTGTTATTTTTATTACCTTATAGTTATTTTGCTAATTTTATAAATGATTTTTCTGGAACAAATTGTGGCTCCAGTTTTAGGTGTCTTTAAAAATGATATTCAGTATAAAATAATTGAATACTTTAAAATCAATGAGTGTAAAGTAAGTCCAAACTAAAGCAGGGCTTCTCCAGGTACCAGCCCATCTAATTTAATGCTTTTTAATGGCCCCATAATGCCATTTCAAACAATGCCCATGACAAATATTACACGTGTGCATGTGTGTATACTTACCCATGTACATACAGTATTTACACACACATATACACACACGTACATATGCAGATGTAAAATATCCAACATCCAACTCTGAATTAAATGGCAAGCATCAATTGCTTGAACACTAGTGAATTGTGGGATACATTGACAGCCCTATACTGTGGGCAACTTCACTCACTACACATTCAGACACCGCAAGAGATGTATATATAGTGCACTATGCAGAGGGCACGCCGACCTCTGCCCTCTCCTTCTGTAGTTCTTCTCTTTTCATCAGTGTAGATCCTGTATCTTGTCCTGGATGAACATAATATAATTGTTTTTTATCATCAAATGTATATTTTCTTAATGTTAATGCATCTGGGAATCGGATTGAATGCGTTTTGATGCCATTTTGATTTGAGCCAAAAACCCCCACAGAAACCCTGCAAAGACCTGAAGTGTACCGAGGTCAATAAGTGGTGCACAGAAACAGCCTCAGTGTACATCCTCTGAAGTTCATTTATTTCTTTTTACATTACAAATAATAAGAAATGATTTGGCAGACACACAGTGACTGGAGAAAAACAACAGAAGCTGAAGTAAAAATTCAGATCTTCATCCAGTAAAAACAGAAAAATCTTGAGCAAATTCCCAGGAAAGAAAAACGTCATTGAGCCTCAATTAGTTCATGTTTAGGCACAAAAAGTGAGTTTAACTGAGCTGAACTAATGTCACAGGCAACCGTCCAGAGTCCTGACCTTTAACATACAGAGAAAAATACAAATTAGAAAATTCAGTCTGAAAACCAGTCCACCAAGGTGTCTGTAAACTCATTCTTCCTTCATTTCTTTTGAAACCACAGAAGGGTTTCTGGGAGTTTTTTTTTGTCAGCGGCGTCAGTCAAAGTCCTCTCCAGACGTGGCCGCTTCCAGGGCGGCCAGAGCCTCGGCAACCATAGAGTCTGTGACGCTCTGCACCTCCTCCTCATCCTCATCTTCCTCACACTTTGTCACTGAAATTCCGCTCTCCATGGTGGAAACATCCGTTGTCTTTGGCAGTCTCAGCCCGTCTCTGGTGTCCACTGAGGACAAGCTGGTAGTGCTGGTGTGGATGTCCACCGACAGGACGCTCCCCTCGTCCCCGGTGTCACACGGATAATCTGGCATCCCCCCGACGCCCTCATCGATCTCATCCGCTGACAAGCTCTCGTTGCTGGTGGTGCACTTGCCCGTGTTTCTGTCCCAGTCTGTCCTCCTCCCACGCTGCTCCTGCTCACCGTAACCTCTCTGGTTGTCGTACTCATGTATGTTGGGATAGACTGGAACCTGACTGGGGGTTCTTTCCTGTATCATCCACCGGGGTCCAGTCATGTCTGGCTGGATGATGTACAGACCGCCCTCTGAAGGGGGCGCCCCTCCCTGCTGATGTAGATCCCTTATGTTTGAAGGAGCCGAGTGTAGCCGTTGGTTGACCTGGTTGTTGTCCACCTCCAGTTTCAGGGTGCTCTCGTTGGACTTGCTGTAGCCCAGATTGTGGAAACCCTGCTTCTGTTTGTCTGGACTGACCACTACCGTATCCCTGCTGGGGGCCATACCTGGGAGGTGGTGGGAGTGGTAGAAGGAGCTGCCCGTGGAGTCGGTCTTTCTTAGGTCCACCTCCACAGAGGGGTCGTAGATGTAGCTGTGGGACAGACACAGTGTCAGTTCTGCTGCAGTCAGAGTCAGGACAAACACACTCCACATCGTCCTTCATGTTTCCTAGACTGGTGTGCTGACCAAAAGACTATTATGGTCTGTCTGGTCCAGCTCCACCTCACGACCAGTAAACACACCAACTGTACATAATACCAACTGATGTCAGAGAGGACTGTCAACAAAAACACTGTCCTAGACTGCCCTCACTGTGGACTGGCCTGATGGAGAGCCGAAAAAAATGGATCACTGATATACTGTAGCTAAAATTAGCTAAACGTTTCTAACACAAATTAGCCAGTGGATTGTATGCGGCTTGGTCCTAGCTAAAAATCAAAACAGCTAAACACAACGATGAATCAAAAACAAACAAACCTGGAAATTAATGATTAAAAAATAAAATGAATAAAATATTCCCGCACATAGTCAAAAAGAGAAGAAATTATTTAAAGCTGACTAAGTTTAAAGCAGCAACAACTTACACAAATAAATAAACAACCAATAATGGGAAAAAATGGGGCAAAAACATCTGTTTGCCAAACATTTGGTGCTTTGGGGACAAACGAGGCCTTGTAAAAACCTCATTATTTATAGAGTAATAATAATATTATAATTAAGGAAAACACAACAACAGTTTGTACCTGGGCCTGACTGTCCACAGTTATGACCGTTAGCCAACAAACACAGACTGAACATCTCTGCTCAGCCTGAGGCCTTCCCTTTGTCCCTCACTCTGTCACGTTTCACAGCAGAAGGAAAGCTGAGAAAACAAATATTTTTCCATTTCTCTCACTCCTAGGCAGCACTAACACTGCTGCTGCTGCTGCTGCTGCTGCTGCTGCTGCTGCTGCTGCTGCTGCTGTGTCCTGTCTGACAGTAAAATCCCAGGCTCGCTGTCTGAATAGTAACTGACACTGAAGGTGTTTCAGCAGAGAAACACACCTCTGAGGGTAATTCAAAAAGTTGGACCAATGCTGCGGGAGAAAATGGAAGAGTATTTCCATCAACAACAGGAGGTCACGGGTTCTACCTCCGAGCTGTTCTCTCCCCCAAAACAAACAGAGGACCAGTGGCTGGGATTGTGCATTTACAGACACAGGGTGTCTGTGTTTACAGGATCCCCTGAATAATAATAATAAGAGGTGTATCAGTCCATGGAGGAGCGGGTTTACCTCAATACCACTGCTAATTCAGGTTGATTCATATTTGCCCAGCCAGAGAACGCCGTGGTTCTGGTTGACATGAATTCACACAGAGTTGAAGCTGGTTCCTATAAGTTCCTTCACTTCTTTCTCTTTTAGGATTCTGTTGAGCTTGAACCTATTTAAAGGATGCACCAGGCTCCACATGCAAAGGAAAGCGTCCTTTGCATGTGGTTTGACTCTTTATCTGCGCACAAAACAAGAATGTGTTTACTGTTTCAGCTGGTGTTCAGGCAGCAGGGAAACGTTTCTCTGGAGTTCACATAAACACACAACACACCTACAGGCTGTGACAGGAATAACAACGCCATGGCTTTAAGTCCATGAGATGAGACGCAGCAGCAGCAGCAGCAGCAGCAGCAGCAGCAGCAGCAGCAGCAGCGTATGGATTTTCTATCAAACCACCTGACGTTCCATAAACACTTTTTAAAGAGCTCTTTTCAAACGTTTTAAACTTTGTGTGAATAAACTTTTTTAAAATATTTTTTATACAAAATTTTATTTTCAGAGCTGCAAATGTGTGTGTGTTTAAACTATCAGACTGCCAGTATATGGTTAGATTTTTTTGTGCCTTCTAAAGAAAAGTGACAGGCCTGTTTTCAAAGCATCAGTGTGGTAAATGAGAATATGTCACAGAGGTGAACTTTGGTTTGGTTTTTTGGAGTGATTAGAGCCAATTATTTATTCATCTGTTATAAGGCCAGCTGGTGGCTATTTCTGAACTCAATTCTAATCAGTATACTTTGTATTTGTTGCTTTGGTTTTGTGGAATTTTCAGCATAGTTTTGTGAGCTTGACGTTACATTACAATAAAATGGAAGACACAATTTAACCATAGGATCAAATGTGAGTGTGATTGGCTGTTTGTTGCTATATGTGGTTCTGTGATGGACTGGAGGACAGTCCAGGGTGAGCCACAGACTGCTAGAATTAGTTTGACAAAATAACGTCATTCAAATAAGGTTTACTTTAATTGACTTAAATATATTGTATTTAATTTTAGTGAAGTTTCTTGGGTGAGCCACAGACTGCTAGAATTAGTGATTGATTTATCTTCATTGTTGGAGGCTTTGGATTTCATTTCCTTGTGCATTTTTTAAAAAATATAAAAAATACAGATGAAGAATATATACAAAATTTAATATAAAAATTGTATAATTTAGACCAGGGGTCACCTGGTAGCCCCCATGGACCACCTAAGGTGCCCGCGGGTCATGTTCTAAAAATAAAACTAGTCAACAAGAGGGTCAAATACTGAACTGTTACTGTGCTTTTTGAATCAGTTCCACTTGCAATGATATTCAAATGGGTCCAATGACGATGGTAAGAACAGTGTCTACTATTGTATGTCCCAGAACTGATTATAATGACATTGTTCAGGAAGTCTGTATCAAACAAGTAGCTCTCTGTATTACTAAGTGCCTTTGAAGTACTGTAGCTCTCAGTTTCAAAAAGGTCGGTGACCCCTGATTTAGACCATGTAGTTGTGCTATATTTTGTTACAGTATTAATAGGAAAATAAATATTGTAATATATATGTTATATCTGGATTTAGCAGAAAATTATCGCACCACCTTAACAGCCATTTTATTTGCATGGTAATGATGTTTACAGCTTATCGTTAGCTTATAGTTTAGTCGGTAAATTAAAACTAAAATCAAATATTTCTAGTTGGACTTTGAAGTGAAGTTTTTCATTATTTCGACCTTTTGGTTTCATTCTAATGTAATACACAGATAATGGGTTTGTTCTGTGTCACTAAAACATACAGAAGGTAAAAGGATTATTCTTTATTGTACTTGGTCCATAAGTACTGATTGAGACCAGAGCACCTGTTTACAGTAGCAGCAGTACAATTCTACTCTGTATGGTTTTACATTAAGGCAGATGCAGAGAGAAGAGTGTTAAAGAGAAATGATTTGCTCTTCACCTGGAGGTCCTGTACGTACTGGGAACAGGTCCAGATAAAAGTGGAGTCGGGTTAAAGTGTGTGTGATAAAAACCTAGAACAGCTTGGGGCAGCTTTCTGTCCCTGGTTATGATTATGAGATCAAATGAAGCCTCATCTATCAAACAGGAGATAAAGTATGAGGTTGTCACCTCTTTCACCCACTGTTGTTGGAACTGTTGACCCAGTAACCTGCACCAGCTGCACAGAACCAGCCAAGCCCTAAACACCACTAAGCCCAGAAATGTGACACAGCAGACAATTAGTAATTATGTGTGTGTGTGTGTGTGTGTTGGTGGGATTACTACTCTGGTATGTGAAAGCCAGTGTGGACTTTTGTTAATCTCCAATCAGAGTCTTGTTTGCTTGCTCTTGTTCTGTCTCATCGTTCACCGTCAGAGTCGTGGCGATGTGCAGAGCTGACAGTGACGTCTGGTAGGCTTTTAATGAATAGACAGCGCCGTGCGGAAATACACTAACTGAAGGTGACGGCTATTGGCGTATCGACTCACAAGTTTGTGCTCAGAGCTCAGGTGGAGCTGACACTGCAGACGTTCTGTAAATGAACCTCTCACTATCTGCATACAAGCAGACAAGAAATCATTCCACCGCTGTATATTTGAACCGACACTGTGGAGACGCAGATAGAAACGTACGGAGAGGGCTTCTTATCACGGAGATGCTAAAAGACGTTTGTGTATTTCAAATGTTGTTATTCCTGCCTTGATAAAGTGTAGATTGAAATATCATTTTGAATCTGAAGCTGCTAAAATCTGCTATAGTTTTGTTATGACGCTGTCTGTGAAAAATGAACGAAATGTGACAGAAACATTTTTAGGCTTAACGGCCATGTCAGGCTATTGCCAATACAAAACCAACTTCAACAGAAAAGTGAATTGAGTCCAATACTACCTACATACAGTTGTGAATTAAACACTTGCACCATTTCCAAACACATCACATCATTTTAATTTCTAATGGTAACAAATGCCATGTCTTTTGGAAGTAAACGCCACACATGTAAAGGGTCAGAGAGAAACAACTAATGATAAAAAGAAATCAAAGTCAATTTCCTTTTCAACAAAAACAGGAGCGCGTCCAGCCATCAAGGAAACAAATAGGACAAAATTAGAACTTCTCACCTCTTTATCATCCTGCAGCATGAGCACCCCATTTGGCCAGCTTTGTACAGAAGCTGTGGAGGAACAAAAAGAAAACTCAATCCAAAAAAAGCCTTTATATACAATGACAAAACCATGCATTGGTGAGAACCACCAGGGGGCAGTCTGTTTAGGAAATGTTGGTATATGAGATTTCTTTTAGAGGAGAAATAGGTTAAGACAATAATATTGTCTTTTAGTGAAAAACTTGTCGGGGCTCAAGTGTAAAAGACCAGTGGAGTTGTCCAAGAGCAGATTGATTGAAGTCTGGAAACAGCTGGAATTTAAAAGGTACATTTGTCTGATGTATATTTATCATGTATTAGGGTTATGGTTACTTTGTTGTATGGTCATTTTTAAAAAATATATCTTTGAATCATTTTCTATTTCTATTCCTATTTGACTAAAGCAGTCAGACACACACAGAGTCTTTTCTTTGTTATTGATTGGCAGGTTCACCATCTTTGACATGTGAGCAGTTTCTAAATGAAGTCCGTTTTCGGGGGCCCTCCTCTAAGATTTTACCCCATCAGTCAAGTTTCTGCTTTGCCCTTGGTCTTGCTGCTGTTTCTACACCATAATGAAAACTGTCTGCCCAAAGCACCGATAAAGATTTTATTGCCATCCATCACTGACGTGTGAGTACGTTTTAAGGAGTGTGTACGTATGTGTTGTGTCGGAATGACCTTTTTCTCTCCCCTGTGGTGTGTTACTCTGGGCTTTGGCATTTCATTGCCTGGGTAAATAATTAATCACCAACTTTTGAATAGGTTTGTCTGCAAGCAAAGGAGAGAGGGCAACCGAGGTAGAGGACACAGGATCTCTTTGTGGGAGAATAGTAGAAGACAAGTCACAAGGAGTTTGAGGGGAAAAAAAGAGTTTTACGCTTTCACTTTAACTTTCTGACCCCTGTATACCCCTGATTTACCTTTCAGTCAAATCCCTGGGCAAATTCAAACAAGAATCAAAGTGGAGAGCACAATACTGTAGGTAGATGCAAATCTCATCTGAGAAACACACATTGTAAACAGTGGCTGAATTATCGTCCTGCTGTGAATGCAATGTTTCACTTATTAGTGACATGCAAATCGTGCAACAAGCACTGGCACTGTGGTGTCACCTCAGTATGAGTCCTGTCGGCAAACTGTGACACTATAGACGACTATAGACTTTAGTCCACAGTATTCTTATAATCAAGAGCAACACTGGGTTTTTCACCCCTGGCTTCTGTCACTTGTACTGCAAATTACAGCTGATGAGTTTTTAATCTCTCGGATCTTTTGATCTGATTTTGATTTTGAACTGGATCTTTTCAGGGCAGTGGGGCGAGCACTTTCAGGTCTTGAAACTTAATCCTCCAGTGACTGTACAGTGTACATTGATTACGGACCTTCAGTGGGGTTGGTTGAGTATTAAATGTACAAAGGTTCTGCAACCCTTTTATTTGCCAACCTGTTCTGAGCACTGTATGTACAGCACTTACATATGCAGTATTTTTAATTACTGTACAATATGATCTGGAAAAACTAAGAGGTAAATGCTGAAAAAGAGACAGGAAAGCAAAGTAGTTAATGGGTCTATTTTGATTTTTTTTTTTTATTTTAATGAAGAGGAGAAAATATTAAAACATGCTGGATTGTTACTAATAACAAGTTAAATAACACTGTTAAACAACAGATGCACAGGAATTCAGTTAAGCGTGGGAACCTTATATTTCTGTGAAAAGACCTCAGGGATCATCTTATCATGTAGAGAAATATTATAATAACGCTCCCTGTGTTCTTGTGTTTGCATTGTCAAAACAAACACAGGCACACGAGCTCAGGAGTACCAGCTATTTGACATTACAAGCCACCTAACTAGAAAAGTTTCTTTTGAAATGGTATAATTTACTTAAGGGCCTCAAATAGAGCCAGAAATATCCTAGAACATCTAAATTATCCATGTACAGCCACAGACAAGAAAAGTACTAAAACCCTTGGGATACTAAACAGTGTACTTCAACAGTGTACCACGTCTTGTAAGGTCCCAGTGACTTCACCGTTACTTTGGTCCAAAAAGCAGATGCTCTGAAGAGACCACCCTGTTTCACACACACTTGCTTTGACAAGTACCCACCTACATTAAGTGTTCTTTATCTTTCAGGAGCAGAGCAAGCAAGGAAGTCGTTTCCCAGACGGCATTTGGAATGATGACACTACTGGAATGTCCCGTCAGCCCTGACAGAACCCTACAATCACTGTAACCCACTTTTCCAACTTGAGTCAGAGTTCACTGAAGCACCTGTGACTGACTGTTAAACATGAGGCTCTGCTGAGTTTCACCAGCACTTAATACTTAAGGTATGGTAATCTTTCTTTGTCTGTGCGTAGAGTGTATTTCATTGATGTGGTCTGTGTCTGCTGCCTCTGGCCTTCAACACCCCGGGGTGTTTTTTAATGTGCTGCGGGCAGAGTCTTGGTAACTGAGCATCCTCATCTGGCTAAGAACCACGACTCTTCATCTGTGCGTTGCAATAAATAGTCCTGAACCTTTGACATAACTGTCTGGTGCTGAATCCTCATGAATTAATTATGTGCGTGAATAACTTTCTTCCCAGCATTGAATTTACACTACAGACAAACACTGCAGTTGTGGTTGCATCCAAATGTCTTCATTAGAATTTCATGAAGTTTATGTGAGATAATCAGGGACTTTGATCTTCCACTGTGTGACGTTGAATATATATTTTTGTGTCTTGTTCCTCTTGAGATCTTTTGGTCTTAAAAAAATCTATTTTAGAACAAGATAAACAATTCGCATAATCGCATCAATGATTTACTGGCAAGATGATCAAGCCTAGTTGACAAACAACATCCCCACCTAAACTAGTTTCCTTTGTATAGTGATTATACATACTCACACACAAAAGTGTTTAGAAATAACGGAATATTACTACATGGTTACAAAAGAAAGAAAATTCATAGAGATTAAATTATGAGTACAGTACAGTTTTCTAACATAAATATATCTAATGTTACAAAGCTCATTCGAACATGACCACAGTTTTTTGAACAATAACTAAAGTCAATTAACCCAAACAATTTGTTTCAGGAGGATTAGAAGTTAATATAACGTCATAATTAATGAGGCAGTGTTCATATGAATCATAATTTCATTGGATAACACCTTTCAATTAAGTGATATGGGATCTGATTGAAACCTGAAAAATTTACATTGAATACATTTTGCATATTTATCACTACATGTGCAACTATAAATTTCCAGTTGACAGCCATCGCAATATACACTATGATTGTGAATGTGAACAAGGAAAGTTGTGACAGAGTCATCACAAAAACTGTCATGGAACAAATTGATGCTTTCTATGCATATTTAGCTGTATGAAGTTTTCTGTTCTCATAAAACTACTTGATAATCCATGGTAAGCTTAATGTGATATGTGTGAGCAGTGAATACAGTTATATATTAGATAATTTATGATAGATCACAAAACAACTATTACAGTGGTAAAAATGCAATTTACCTTCAAACCGTTCTATTTAAGTTCTCTCTTTTTATATATTTACTAGGGATGCAACAAATATTTATCTGTACTGAACCGTTGATACAGTGGTCTCTGTTTGGTACACACTATGAATAGAACAATACGCAATTTGATATTTATTTTACTTCCGGCTATGCATTCTGTGGTGAAAGTGGAAACAATACGCAATTTGATATTTATTTTAATTCCGGCGATGCATTCTGTGCTGAAAGTGGACTTGCGCTCAACTACTCTGCCTTAGGGTACATTGTTGAGCTTATTTGTGTATCGTTGCACCTATAATATTTACTACTTCTGCATTGTGCTGTTTGTTACCTAACATGTAACACCAAAGTGGAGGCCCATGACAGACAAGGCAACCAAAGCCTGGCTGACGGTGTCGGAAAAAAAAAGCATCGGAACAGTGTGGGTTGCAAATTTGCAAGGCAAAATGACTGCCTCCGGTTTGACGGAGTGCTGACAATGTTGTTGTGGTGTTACCTGCCTGAAGCTAATCATTCTGCTGCTGGTCAGCAGAAATCCCTCACAGTCAAGGTGGCATATTTGACATTGTACCATCTTAAACTCAAGCAAAGCACAGTCGCTGACAGTTTCCCACTTGACAAGAGACCTACAAGTAACTTTCCACTCACATCTCTCTCTTGATATTAGCCTTAAAATCAAAGACAACTCCCAAGGTGCCTGCCTGAAGAAAATGGTAAAGCAAACATGACCAATGTGCCAGGCTGACGTAAACTGTGGCTCCAGGTTTTTTTTACTTGTCTGCTGGCTGTGTTTGCAGAGTTAATTGCTGCAGTTAAACATGCAAATGAAGCAATTTAAATTTATTTTTAAAGTGATGCACACAAAATATTTCCCCAATTTCCCCACGTTTTCTTATCCCTAAAATAAGTAATAGCATTATCAGCAAACAATAATATAATTTTAATATCTTTGTACTGAACAATGTTTAATCAGTTATTTTATTTTAAGTTTTAATGCCGATGTATGATAATGACGCTGACGTTTGTGAAAACTGAGCGGACTGAACATCTTATCTTCTAAGTTTCCCTTAAGTTTTCCTTCAAGTATCAGCACGTGACTGAGATCTGCATCCCGGAATCTAAATGACCAATCATGTTTCCTGCCTGGAGACGCTCCAAAGTCACAGTGAGATCACAGATTCAATCAGTGTATAAAATGACTGTCATTCATTCAGCTATCGGACATTGTTGGCTAGCGATTATAGTCCTTTATCTGCTGCCTGTGCCGTTCAATATATTTTATATCGCCTGTGTTTTTTATGATGGGGAAGATAGTGGGAAGATTACTGTGGGGGAGAAATATTTCACCCCTGGCAGCTTGGCAGGCTCCCACTTTTTCTGCTTCCTGATGATTTTTTATTTTTATTTTTGTCTTTGTGCAGGAAATTGAAACGTTTCATCTTAGAGAACGAAACAGGTGCAATGAAAGGGAAATTGCCACAGAGTGTCCCTTAAATGTGGAATGGATTGAAATTCAGGGGAAAACCCGTGAACCTGACAGTCAGGTGTGGTTTCTGAGCGATTGCAGTGGTTAGAGAATTTCATCCGGAATGATAAAACTGAGTTGAAGTCCTCCTATGGAGAGTGTGCAGGTAAAATTAACTTAACATGTTAAGAGTTTGGTTTGAGGTTATTGTGCGTGGGTGGAGGAGTTATTTTTTTCCTATCAATAAATGGTTTCTTTTTGATGGTAATGGTAAAACAGTTGAACAAAAAATGAGTAATTAACATTTGTTAATATTAATATTATTACTATGAGAATTAGTTATAGTTGAACTATTTTCACAAAGGTTTACAACAACTAAAAAGTGCAAGATGAAATTTTAAATATATTTTGATTTTGTTTGTGCAATTTGTATTGCTGTGTCCTGAAATTCCATTTAGCAGTTAAAACTAATCAAATTACATTATAAAAGCTGTACCAGCAGGGTTAACTTTACCTATCTGCCTCATCGGTAATCCAAGGTTATCTGTCCCTATCTGGAATGCCTTGATTTTAAGAGATTTATTGCATTGTAAACCTCCCATTGTGTTTGTTTTAAAAGCACTTGACATTGCAAGAACATCAGTATCTTAGGTGTGGTCAGTCTGATCTTTTCCAGTCCATCGTCCTTGTTATGAGCTGGTAGTGACAACAGAAAAAGCATGCCTAAGTTGCAAATTCTACTTGTCATCTTTTGTAGAAGTAGAATTCCTAGTTCCTTTTGCAGTAACTACGAGAACACAGTCTATACAAATAAGACAGCTGTTTGTCACACACACTGTTTGGTTGTACTCTTAGTGTTACCTTAATGATGACAATATGCAAAAATAAAAATAAAAATGCTGTCTTACATATAATTGAATATTGAATGATAACAGGTTATCAATGGTGGCCATGGAAACAGAGCAGAAGGCCTTGTGTTTTCTTTCCTTTTATGAAGACAAAATAATTAGCTGTTTGTTAAAGCAGCCAATTACAGCACAGTTGGATTGGACTGTGCAATGATTGGCTGAAACCTCATTTCCAGGCTGTCGTTGAGTGAGTCTGGAATGCGGGAATAAATGTAGTTCAAAATTACAATAAGTCCCAATTTTGTATTGCTGTGAAGTCAAAAGTATTGGCTGGGCTCTCTGACAACTTTTTTACTTGCTGCATGAATATTATTGAATTTATGTTTTAAAAGTTCAATAAATATTTAAATCTCAAATATCTGTGACATAGTTCTGAATTAGACCACAATGCAAATCAGGTCATAT